GAAACCACTTTTTTCCTACTCAAATAACGGACAACGAGTTTCAAATGTCGCAGGTTTCCAGCAACTTTCAGCTTCTTACATTTTCAGCACTATGAGTGCCCTCATTTTGTAAAATGCGTTTGATGGCAAATTTTCCTGTTAACTAAGACACTTAATTATTCCATTCGATCGCCCGTAGACAAAAGATCATTAACATGGAAGGTTAACAATGCGAACTACTAACGAACCCAGATGCATACAGCCGAGATACTGAAGAGAAATTCAAACAGAGAGTAGAGGCACCCTCATTAAACCCTAATGAGTTCTGAGATAAATATGAATGCCCTACAAGTAGAGCCAGATGGAATTGCTTAGGCAAGTGCTCTATTCACTCACACTATTGGCTATTTTTACACGCAAAGAAAGGGAAATGTGTCGGGTGCATTAACTCAAAATTGGAGCCCTGCCAAGTTAGTGTCTGATAAGTTCATCCCCTTGTTTCGGCAAGTTCAAGATCGAAGACAAACTCGTTGTTTTTCGCCTAGACCCTTTGGCAGCTCGCGTATGTTTTCCTCGGCTGATTTATGAATGAATTGGAAGTTTCTTTATCATAATGCATAGTTTTTCTGGCGACTGTGGCTAGACAAAGACATTGTGGCATGCTTAAACTGTTGCAAGAAAAACGTCACATCGTGACTAAACAGTATCTGAAATCATTGCCCAGATCGGGTCTTACAACACGGAATCGATAAAGTAACGGTCTCATGCTCAAAATAGTCAGATAAAAAGGCCTTAATAACTTCATTAAGCCATTGTCCTCGGTCTCTACACCTTACACTCACTCCTTTAAAGTAGATTAGAAATAGTAACAATAACACTCTAAGGAATTTCAACAATGGAATGATGAATAGAGGATAAAATTCCTTCATAGAAAGCAACTGCGATATGAAGCACACAATACATGACATACAAAAAGTGTTTAAGCCATCTACGAACTGTGTGCCGTATTGTTCCTTTTTTAGATTGATGGCTCCATTATATGAATTTGGTGCATTGACATCCATTTTATTATGTCCACACTTACATTGACGTTATTATTAAAGATTTATGATGCAGGTTATAAAATGAAACGAGCCGCGAAGCTCGGCCAACGGTGGACCAAAAACATACAACACTAAACCTCAGGAATGTCCATTGGCCGATGCAATGAGGTCAAAGACTCTGGTATTTTGCTCGCAAGAGTAGCAAGTTCTCAATTCAATTTGCCTTGAAAACAAAACTTGCTGAAAACAAACAACAAAGGAAAAAATCGGATAAATTTAGACACGTGGGTCGATTTAGCTAAAACCAGTACCCACGAAGATGGATTGAGGAAACCAACAACTGTAACGTTAGGGTAGGTCAGAACCGACCCAGTTAGGTAAAAACCGGTCAATTAGCTTATCGAAGGCGTCGGAAAAACTGGACACCTTTCTCCATTATGCAAATGCATGAAATTGAACATGTAAATTACCACTGACAGATAGGTGGATGGTTTAATTACAGGCTGCTTGATTTGTTACTATGTCTTGAACGGTTTTGCATACTGCATAGAAGGACCATTCAATTAAATTGAATTGAAACATAGAGCAAGTGTGCTACTTTTCTCGAATATTTCCTTCGTTTGATAATCTGTCCGTTTGAAGTGTGCAATTATCGAAAAATTACAGCGGTAATTGCACAGTGTGCAATTAGCACTCAACGATAATTGCATTGTTTACGAAAAATGTTTGACAGGTGTCTTATCCTGTTGAATTAGACATCAAATGTCATCCTGACATACCTAAGATACTCAAATTATATTTAATAAACATAAGTAATAAAACTAAAAGTGTAATAAAATATAATAGAAATAAAATGAATCCACATTT